ATAAAAAATGATCAGTTTTAATAATGGAATCAAAAGTTAACAACTTCTAAATTCATTATTAAATCTCTTTAATTAATGCACTTTTATAATTAACAAACAAAAAGTAACCCGTAATACGGGTTATGGTCGGTCTGTTAAATAATTAGTTTATAGTGGCTGTTTTCCACAATTTAAAGTTGCGAATTCTCAGTAAAAAAATAATTTACCAATTATTATTTAACACATTATTGGAGTAATTTACAACTGACATAGGTCATATTAGTGCTAGGCAGAACCATTTTTAACAACATTCCTAAGTTCAACACAAAATAATAACACTTCACCATTTTTTAAATTGACAAAAATATCAACTAAATTCTTGTAATAATTTTTATAACATGAACTTTAATTAATTATTAAGGTTAATATGAAGTTAACTTATATTATATAGTAGTTATTAACTTTTGGTATCCCCTCCATAAATTTTTCTTTAGAAAAGAAAATTTGTTATCTTAAAAATGTTAAATGCACACAACTAAATGAATTTATTAAAAATAACAAAGTTTCTTATAAATAACTAAGCAATTGAGAACAAATACGTTTCAAAAAAAAAAATTAATTAGTTTACAAAAAAACATTTGTATAACAAAATTAAAAAAAAAGTTAACTTTGATCTTTTATATTGCGTCATATGACAAACCTAAAGTTAAAATTGTAACAGCTAAGTAGGCATAAAAAAGGCATAAAAAAAAGTAGACATAAAAAAGAAAAAGAAAATGACTGGAAAACAACAGATGAAAGTTCATCGAGCCGCAAACATCAAAGCAACTTCAAGTCGTCTCGGGAGTACGCTTGTAACCGACAATAAAAAAAAAAAACAAGTTTCACTGGATAAAAAAACAACAAAGTTCACTGAAATGATCTTTATTAAAACATCAAAAAATGAATTATTCTAGGGATATGCTGCAAAGTTTTAACATTTAGTAATTGCAATTATTCAGCAAAAGGTTTATTAAAAGGTAATTAAATAGAATCACTTTATTTTAAAAGCATATGTTAGTTTAAGCTTATTTTCTTGCTTCAAGTCATAACACGACATTTGGTAAACTAATCAACTAAAACAATTTTTTAAAAATCAAATAAAATGTTTTCTAAATAACTAAAGTTTAAAGTTTTATTAGCTGTATATCATAATTCCATTCATTCTTGTAGTACTCCATTCATTTAATATTAAGTTTATAAAAAAGTTGTTGTTTGCCGTTACGTTGCGCCATTTTTAATGTTTTTCTTGAATATTTTTGGCGAACCTTCAAAATACTATAATTTTATATTATGATAAACGTATCTATTTGCATCAACGTATAAAGATTAAGCGTTTAAGTAGAGTCTTGATGTCGTTTTCTAATTGTTTACGAAACAAAAGGTTACTCGGTGTAGTTAAGGCACTTTAAAAATATTCTAGCGTCTGTATGATATTTTGTTGATTGTGACATATTTCCGTGAAATGGTCTGGTCTGTGAATTACGAAAGGACGAAAAAAATTAAAATAATAAATTTTGCAATATAAAATACAAATGTTTGTAGCGAAAAAACCCAGACCATAGAATCTTTTTTTTTTTTTTTAATTATCTAAAAACCACAATCGCTCGTCCAAATTTAAATAAGATTTTATAGTAATACGTTTTTTAGGTGAAATGAACATTATAGTTTAACAATATGATCTGTTCTGATCGTTTATTGGCAATTATTTATAATTATAAATTCTTTCTTGATCGGAATTCCAGTATTTTTTGTGAAAATTGATAGAAGTATTGTGTTTTGACAACTATATATTGTTAATATACGTCAGAACCAATTAGAACTAGGATCAGTAGTAAATTAAGTAACTTTTTAAATTTTTAACTAAATTCATGTTAATGTCGATGAGCGCAATTGATCTAAAGTCTCCAAAATAGTGTTCTTTAGATGCATTATTACGGGTTGTAACAAGATTTTTAAAGTTATATATAAAAATAAAAGTTTCTTCAAATATTATAAAAACCTTAAGCAATAAAAATTATAACATTTAAAGATCTTGTTTGGGCATAATATGCTGACAAAACCATGCTAATTCCAAATGAAAGTATTCAAATATTTTGTAAATCACCTTAACTACACCGAGTACAAGCATAGTCCCGAAGAATTTCAATGCGGTTGAACTTCCATCTGTTTTATACTTCCATGGTTCAACACAGACCATTTTTTAATATTAGTTTGGCCTCTTTATTTCATTAATTTTTAGTAAACGGTGTTTTGCTATCATTTACAAAAAATTCCTTTTGTTACTCAAAATTTAATTTAACTAAATATTAAAATAACTTAAATTAACTTAAGATAACTTTAAGTTATTATTATATTAAAGAGATAAGAAAGGAAAACAACAAAAAACTCAAAAGTTTATGGTTTAAGTAGACGTTTTTCAACAAGCAGAATGACAATGGAAAACTTTACAATAAATAGATATTTTCAAAATCTCAATACAGTAAAAAGAACTAAATTTTACATTACCAGCCAAAAGACTTTGCACATAAACCATCATCATAATCAAACCCTAGTGAAGATGAGAATTGATTGTTTGCAAAACGAAAAGCAGAATCGTTAATCAACTTCAACAACGACATTATAGTCTCTTACGAAGTAGTCGAAAATGTGATGAATCCTGAGGAATTAAAATAAAAATAAAGTGATATGAAATTAGAAAATTTCTTTTTCCAAACTGAAATATCTCTTTTACTCGTTTAATCTGAAGCTTAGAAGGATTTGATCAAAACATTTAATCCATCGCATGCATCATCATAGTATGTATCATCATCGTACGCGTAAACGCTGTCGGGTTTGCTTCTTGATAAAAAATACGCAGAATACTCCGTTATATTGGAAGAAATTCTCGAATCATCTGAAAGTTTAACGCTCGTCATGATTCTTGGACAAATATTGGTAGCGATCATATAGTGAATTTTTTATCAAGGCACCAAATACTATGCTTTAATCAAATTATCGGGCATAATTTAAAACGCTGCAGCTGTCGCTGGTGCTATCATTGAAGTAATCGAGACTCTCGGTACCCAAAAGTTCAAAAACATTATCACTGACAACGCTCCAGTTATGAAAGCTGCTTGGAAATTTATTGAAGAAAAATTTCCACACATCTTGACGTATGGCTGTGCAGTACACGGTATAAATCATCTTTTAAGAACCTTTTAAATACTGCTGAAAGTTCAAAGACCATCAAAGAATCTAAAAAAACTATCAACTTTGTAAAAAAATATCTCATTGTTAAAGCAAAGTGTAATGAAAAGAGAATTGCAGTTAGTTTTCATCGCTCACTCACAATGCTTGTTTCGACTCGATGGTTCAGTCTAATTGATTCAATAAACGACCTTTGTATGGCAAAGTATATTTTGATTCAATTTGCAGTTAAAGAAAATGCATCTTTAAAAGAAACTGCTCCAAAAATAAATTTTGCCGCTGTTTTAACCCTAATTAAATCAAATGCTTTCTGTGATAGTTTGGCAAAAATTGTGAAAGATATCGAAAATCTTTTTAACACCATCGGAAGACTTGAAAATGATGCTCCATTATTTTTGGTGTACTATTATTTTGGGGAAATGTACAAGAAATTCGCAAATGAGGAAAATATTCAGGAAATGGTTATGAAGCGCTTTAAAAACCTTATCACCTCAAATATGGATAATGCCTACTTGCTGACACCAAAGTATGTTGCAGAAAGATTTTATTTTGGTGAGGATAAAACTAATACAATCAGTCCAATTTTAGATTTAGCCTCCAAAATAAATCCAGCAGTTGCTGAGATAGTTGATAGTGAAATGATTGAACTTGTTAAAGAAATGACAATACTGACAGAAAAAAGAAGAGACAATTTTCATAATGAGCAAATCATTTAAAATTATTTAAACCGTTAATACTCGTTTTTTTATAATAATTTGCAATGGATAAATAATTGCTATGTATATTATATAAAATAATTACTTTTAATATATCATAGAAAGATTTGTTATAACTTATCACTATTAAAAACGAATTTGATATTCAAGCACTTATTACATTCGGGTTCCGAACTCTAAATAAAAGACTTAAAAAAATGGCAGAAAATAAGCTTTTTATTAGTTCATCAACATTTTTTTTTCTTTATTAACTTTCAATACCACCCTGGAGACCATTATAATCTTAAAGTAAAAATGTTAATTAACTGGAAAATGTATATCTATATATCTATATCTATATATCTATATCTATATCTGTATCTATATCTATATCTATATATATATAGATATATATATATATATTTATATATATATATATATATATATATAAATATATGTATATATATGTATATATATATATATATATATATATATATATATATATATATATATATATATATATATATATATATATATATAAATAAATATATATATATATATATATATATATATATATATATATATACATATATATATATGTATATATATGTATATATATGTATATATATGTATATATACATATATATATATATATATATATATATATTTAGCTATATATATATTTAGCTATATATATATTTAGTTATATATTTAGATTCTTTTAGTTTCTAAAAGAATCGTCTAAACTCATAACATTTATAAACATATTTTCTACCTATAAAATTAAAAGGATATATAATTAGCGTAGTCGCATTTATACTTGCCTATCATTTTGGATGTAAAAACTTTATTAGTAACAATATTTGAAATTAAAAAAAATTAACAGATAAAAAGAAAAGTTTATCGATAAATGTAAACTTGATATAAAAAAAGTACTAAATACTTTTTTAATACTAAATTTACAATCAATAAATAGTCTCTTTATTTAGAGTAGTTTTGACACAAATACTTTATTACTACATTTATAATGTTAAAACTTTATTCACATATAAATTACATAATTTTATATTATACTATTCAACATAATATGACAATAATAAGATATATAACAAATGTTCTCATGATACATCGTTTTGAATATATTCGTGGGCATTTTCTTAATATCTTTTCTAAAAATAATATAAAAACTAAAAAAAGTTTAATATTTTTATGTTAAACTTATGATTTAAATTTATATCAAAATTCCTTAAAATAAAAACTTTTAACCCGACCCCTCAAAAACACAAACCCGTGTTAGGAAATCAAAAACAGGTAGAAAAATATGCAGTATAATACAAAAAAGTTTAAAAAATTTATTTAAAATAGACATACCATTTTTTAAAAATAAAACTTCCTTAAAAAAAATACGATTCTTGCCAGGAACAATAACAGCATTTTGTATGTTTGGAATCTTGTTTTGACGATGATGGTGCAGTATTGTGTAGTCTTTATAGAGTTTAAAAAAAAATTTATTTTATATCATTTTATTCAGATAGTAACTTGCAATATTAAAAATTATAATTGATAAAATAGTATAAAATAATGTTAAACAGTTAAAAAAACTTTAACATTGTTATAAAATAACTTTAGTTATATATGTGATACATAAATTTAAATTTACGTAGTATCATATCTCTTCTAACTCTTCTTGTATAAAGAGTTTTTAAACTAAGAATTTCTTATGATATCCTGGTTAAGAAAAAAAAACAACTCGTGTCCCACCTGGGCTCCATATTGGTTCCCATTAATCTCACACAGTACTCACATAGAGAATGTAGGACATGCGTTTTTTTCACTTTAATGTTTTTGTTTCCAGTAAGTCAATGTAACTTTACTGCAATTGCGCCTTAGTGTATAAACTTAATAGTGCTTCAAAATAGGCGAGTCAAAAACAGAGCATACAAATACCAAAACTGTTTGCTCAATTTTGCATGTCCATAGCAGGTGAAATGAATTTCTTAACTATATTACAACTTACTTATTATATATTTCTAATAAATAATAAAGTCTAACTTAGAAAACATCATAAACTGTAACTACTTTCTTTTAGTTTTTTATTTTTTCAGTTTTTTAACTTTTTTTTTTTTAAATGTGTATCTACAAAAAAAAAAAAAAGAAAATTCCATTTTGCAATACAGTTAATTATGCTAAAATAATCCTTACCTGTCATATTCTTTATAATACATATATATCAAATATTGTTCAGCAGAAAGTTGCGAAGGGTGTTTGTTCCCCAATGTGAATAAATCCTCTTTTGGAGTATAATTCCAGATGTTGTTTCGGCTGGGTGATACATTTTGTTTCGGTGATTTTAATAAAATCATATCTTCATTTTCTCTTTAAAAGAACAAAAAATATTTAACAACATAACTAATACTTTTTTGAGATATTCAGTTTTTCAATATTGAATACTAAAAATTAAATTTTCCTAAAGTCAACATATCCTATTGTGGAGTGGTTTCACTTTATTTAGCTTATTGCACTTTATTTAGCTTCAATGATTTTTTCAAATCAGCTTTAAATTTTAGAGAAAAATAAAAATAACATAGCGAATACTATACCTGACTTAGCTAAAAGGCTAAATCCAGGTCCTTGAACTTTGAACTGGATTTTAACAAACAGTTGAACGAATTATTTAACGAATAGTGAAGCGAATAGAAAGTAGTACATATATTGAAAAATATTTTATGAGGATAGAATATTCGACAAACTTTGTAATCAAAGCTTATCTTCTTAAGCTTATTCAGTATGTGACTTCGTTTAAACTTAATTTGCAAAGTTAAACAAACTTTGCTTGTCCTACAACCTACAACCTGACTACTACCTGACTTGCTTGTCCTACAACCTACAACCTGACTTAACAACATCCACAACAAATATTTATTAATTTAACTTTTTTATATATTGACGATACCAAGCATGTTAAACTGTTATTTAGGCTAGAAAACAAACGAAAAAAATATATATATAAATGCATCTTTGCTTTGTAATCTTGTTTTATTGAAAAAGAAAAAAAAATTCTGTATAGTTTCTCAAAATAAAATTAAAAAAAAAAAAAAAAAAGAGATTTCCACATCCTACTTAAAAATTGCTTTATTTGCTTTATTATTGCTGATAAAACTGTTAATAAACTAAAAATAAAAAAACTAAAATGAATTAACCGAAAATAAAACTGATTAAAACGTTATTTAAGTATATAAGGATAAACGAGTAGATCTTTCGATGTATTTAATGGTATTACACATATAATAGAGTGAGCAAGATGTGTTTTGTATTATAAAAAAATAGCGCTAAAGTATAAAGTTAAATAATATGACAATAGAATACTTGTTTAAGCCTGGCTTTTAGATTAGGTATGGTCAATGTAAGTTAAGTAATATTAAAAGTGCTGAAAAAACAGTAACAATACTACAAACTGTCTCTAATAGTATAAAACATAATAAATTTGTTTTTTATTTTATTATTTTGTGAAGTTAATAATTAAGCTATGTTTAACAATAAAACAAATAAAATTACTTACACAAACAAGTTTTAGAGATAATAGCAAACAGTTTTTAGCTGTATTAACTAAACTCAACTTTACAAATTATATTATAAAAACAGGCTCAGAAAGCTCATTACCTTTTCTCCGATATCAAATAGAGTAGTGGATTAGTCCAACGTCCAACTGGTTGATGGGGCTTTGCCCACAGTACTCTTTTAAATCTAAAAAAAAATTATATTAAAGATAGGCACGTAAAAGGTCAACAAAAAAAGTAATATGCACATTTTTTTATGTAAATTTAAACATCTATTGAACGGAGTATTTATTTTTGAATAATATTTATAGAAAAGATGTATTAAATATTTTTAATTATATATAATTTATAAAAAACATACGCAGTAAAAGTTAAAACAGAGATTCAACAAAAATTCTAAATTATTTCTAAAATATGTACCTGGCTGAAGTTTTTGGACAAACCATGTAGGAATAAAAAGTGTTATTCACATGATCGCAATTGAACTGATTTATACTTTTATCGTTGTTCGTTAATCTGTCGTATTTCAGTTCAAGTAAACTTTTTCTCGGAATATAAATTTCCTCCTTCTCTAAACCACACCTTATGGTGGATATACAACCATAAGGTGTGGTTTAGAGAAGGAAAGTTTAAAGAATAAGATATACAACTATTTGTGATGTCTTCCAAAATCTTTTTATCATATTTTAATAAAATTGGTTCACATTGCTTATTTGAGATACAACTTTTTTTCCCAATGATGTTAAATTTTTTGAACTTGTTCTTCATAAAATCATATTTTTTTTTAAAAGATTGAAAAATACTTTTAAAAACCATTATAAAAAAGCTTTATCGCTATTTTTTAATTTCGAGTGACAAACTGATAATTTTTAACTTTACAGTATAATCAAATTTGACGTCATTTATCAACTTCTAATTTTAAATAAGAATTATCCTTACGTTTAAAAATTTTAAATACAATTGTTGCAATTTTCTTATGTTAACTTTGTAAATATATTTGTAATTTTTTGTAATTTTGTAATATCAAATAAGTTATTAGAAAAAATTGATTTTGGTTTTTTACAGTTATTTTTATCTAAGTTTTTTTTCATTGACTCTTTCTCAGTTCAGTTGGTTTGAGAAGTAGAAAAATTAGATAAATTTATGTTAGGTTATTTATTTTTATTTTTTTTTTCAATAGGTTTGAACATTGAAATAAAAAACAATTTTGAAATTACAGGATCTGCATTTTATGGAGCCTAACTTTTTTAGAAAAAAAAATAAAAAATTTAGTTTGTTTAAAAATTTTGTTATTTCCATTTAAAGTACTGAAAAAAAAAAAAAAATAAAAAAAAACGATTGTCCTCACCGAAGTGGTAAGTGTATTTTTCTTTTTGTGATTCAAACATTTTTTTAATTTTCAAAATATTATTTAAAAAATGTATATAACATTATCACAAAAAGATAAAATTTTTGTTTGACAGAAACATAATAGAAAAGTTACATTCTGCCATCATTTGTTGCGGTAGTGATGCAATGGTAGAGCGCTCACTTCATAAGTAAGCGGTTCTGAGTTCAATTCCCACAACGTTCTTGGTAGTATTTATATTGTTTCTCCGCGCAGCATCCCTGTTCGTCAAGGTTCGTATTTAGGAGTTGAAGTGTCGAGAGAGGGTTATAAACACAAGTGCCTCCTCATTTGTAATGGCCTTCTCGGCCTTGAGCAGGTGAATTACAAAAAAACAAAAAAAGAAAAAAAAAAAATCTTTCCCCTCACATTCATAAAAAACATTAATTTTAAATTAAAAAATCAGACAAAAAAAAAATGCTAAATTATCAATTTAGACTTTACTCTTTAACAATATGACTGAGGAACTTAAAAATATTTTATATTGGTTCAAAAAAAATTGGTTGTCTTTAAAAACCGATAAAACAAAATGGATACTTTTTCATCCAACTTCTAAAAAAATGAAAATTCAAAATATCTTGCCTGACTTATATATTGACAGTACAGTAATAAAAAGAGAAAAAAATACAAAATTCTTAGGAGTTATAATAGATGAAAACTTATCTTGGAGGCAACAAATTGATAATATTTCAATGAAAATTGCTAAAAGCATTGGAGTTCTATATAAAGTTAGTTATATATTAAATAAACACCAATTAACACAATTTATTATTCATTTATTCATTGCCATTTAAATTATGCAAATATAATATGGGGAAGCGCTCACAAAACCAAACTTAAATTTCTCTATCGACATCAGAAACACGCAGCTCGCACAACTAATTTTGCAAATCGTTTTTCAAGCTCAACACCACTTCTTAAAGAAATGAAAGTTTTGAATATTTACGAACTAAATGTTTTGAATATTTTATGTTTTATGTTTAAATGTAAAGAAAATATCACCTAATGTATTTATAAATCTTTATAATTTGAAACCTAAAAACAAATATATTCGTCGTGCCAGTAAAAGTATCGAAGAGCCATTTTGCTAAACTAAATTTGACCAGTTTTGTATTTCTTATCGTGGTCTTTCTCTTTGAAATAAAATAATTTTACCTAATTTCGATTTTTCTTTTAAATGGTCTTATTCTTCTTTTAAACGGAAAGTAAAAGAAATTATCTTTTCAACACAAAATATTTATATCTATTTTTAGTATTTAAGTTGTTTTTTTTTATTTGTTTTAATTTATACTTTATTTTGTTTATTATATAGACTGTGAAGAATATTAGAATATTGTATTCTTTTTGTTATATAGATTGTTGATTGTAAAGGTAAAAAAGTGCAATTTAATATTTCAAAAACTCTTATACTTCAAAGTTTTAAGCAGCCATAGCGCAGTGGTTATTGGCAGAGGTGGTGCAAGCATTTTTTGATCTTCAAGATCAAAAAATGCTTTTAACTTCCAGACATGGACCGAACTTCGAACATTTATATGATATACTTATGTCAAGTATGGATGCTTTCCAAATAGTTGCGATGATTGGAGCCTGTGAATAAAAAAGCCAAAATATTTTTGGGCTTTTTTGCTATTTAATTTTTTTGACAACAGTGATTTAAATATAAATGGGTAACTCTAAGAAAACTTTGAATTGTAAGTTATATCTTAGTAAAATGTTCATACCATTAATAATAAAGTATACAGTAAAATCGCCTAAGTTCGGTCACCATGTAACATCAGTCATTTAAGAAAAAATTCTAAAAAAGCACACTAAACTTAAAATTTACAATTTTTTTTTTCTCAAATAATATTTGTAATTATTTAGTATAAATGAATTCTTTGATTTGCTTACAGATTTGCATGGCTTTCTATTCTTTTTTTTTTTGAGCGGTAAAACTTAAAACTTTTTATTCTTTTGTTTATATAAATTTTTTACCTTTTTATTATTTTTAACTGATCTAAGCACTCAATTTTATTTCTTGTTTAAAAATCACATCTCACCATTGCCACAAAGTGGCACCATTTTAGTTAATAATCTACGTGATATGATCTATGTCTTTATATAAAAACAGTGCGGTGCAAGTTTATAACCTCACCCAAAATTCAAGATCTCACAAATAATGAAATAATTATTTTTAAATTACTCAATTGCTTAACGTCTTACTTGATTATTATTTCATTTGTAATAGAGTCTGGTTTCATTTTGTTAATTGACTTGAAAATTGATGGTGCAAAATTATAACCTTATTTCAATTTTACTCTACAAAATTCCATAATGTTTTGTATTGCAACTTGAATTTATTGTTAATACTTTGTTTTATTGCCGCCATTCTGAATAACTTCAAATACTTGATTTGGCATACTTTTTAAATGTTTTCTACGATCTGCAAGAGACATATTCTTCCAAACATGTACAACTGCCTTTTTCATTTCATCGACATTCGAATGTTTCGATTCTCCATCAACACATCTTGCTAAGATGCCCCATACATTTTCGATGGGATTTTAATCAGGTGAGAACGCTGACCATTCTAATAATTAAATTTTCTTGCTGGCAAACCATGAGATAGTTGACTTTGCTCTATGAGTTAGAGCATTATCTTGCTGGAAAATAAAGTTAGTGTTACCAAAGTTTTTCGAAATATTACCCAAATGACCATTCAACAAATTTCTATATCCTTCAGCATTTAATTTTGTAGTAAATAAAGCCAATCGAAGTTTTTTCAAAATTATTAAACGCACCGCAAATCATTGCTTCTCCGCCACCCTTAGCCCTTATTTTTTTAAATATTTTCTCATTTCTTATGTCATGCAAGTAGTAATTAAAGCCATCTGGACCTTTAAGATTAAATTTTTTTTCATCAGACCATACAATTTTTTTCCATTCTTTTTCTCAAATCATGCGGTCCTTGGTACATTGAAAACGAATGCGTTTGTGTGCTTCAGTTAGTGCTGGAGATGTGCATTTTTTTGCATATCTAAATACGTTTTTTTGCATATCTGAAAACTTAATTGCACGATTAATTGCACGATTCATCGTTCATTAGAAGCATTTCAATGCCAAAATTACCATCTATTTGTCTCGCGGAGATTGTACGGTTACTAGCGGCATATAGAATTTGTCGCTGTTGGCAAGCTGTAAGTATAGATTATCTTCCACTTCAATGCTTTGTGCTATAATTTTTAGGATTTTTTATGAAACTATTGATTAAACGTTGTGAGCGTCTCAGTTTGCAAAAAATTTTCCTGTTTGATAAACCCAATGACCTGCAGGCTTCGATCTTGCCTTTTTTTTATTGGAGAGTGTAAAAAAATTAAACAAAGTTTTTTTTATTTTAATTTTAAATCTTATCTTTAAATTTGTATGCAATTTATTTATTCAATCAATTTATTAAAAAAGTTCAATGTAATGAAAAAATATGGTTTACATACTAATTTTTAATGAGTATCTGGGTTGATAAATTAATATTACAAACAGCCTAATTGTTATCGCCAATATTATTTTCATTTGCTTCTAATTTGGCTTCATCCTTATCATTTTTATTGGCTTCAGTATCATACTTATATAAAAAGAGATTCCGCAATTTATATTCCCACATTGGATAATGTTATTCCAAGAATAGTTGGAGATACTGCACTCCTCAATCATGAGTGCACTCTATGCTCATAAGCAAAAAATAGCTAAACATGATGAACAATAAGTTGAGGTAAAAAATGGAGGATCCAGAGTAATAATGTTTTTTAATTTTAATTTTAAAGTTTATCTTAACTATTATAACTATAAATTAAATAGGTGTTATTTGTTATGGATCTTGTTTTTTAACCAGTTTTGTTTTTACTTTATCTAAACGTTTATGAAAGCAGTAACCAAGCATCATATAAAACTATGAAAGTCAGAAATTCTTTTATCAAAAGACACATTAAAGTTAAGTCTAGTACATCCAACGATATAACTTTCTATTTATAATCAAGGCTGCTATAATCATTTTTAGCAGATACAATATGTTAATATTGGATAATCTAAACACCGGAAGAGTGTTAGTTAGTGCAACCATCATGGTTACAATGAAAATCAAATTCGTGCATATTCTGTTTGAATATCTAATATTTTATTCTGCTAAGAATAAAGTGTCAATTTGTCAATAAAAAAAATTCTATTGACCTGGTTTTACCATAGCCATAAAATATATGAAACGAAAGAAGCTTACCCATAAAAAAAAATTAAATATGGCTATTTTTATAGCCATAAACATATTAAAAACATATTTGGTATAAAGTAATTTTTGAGTTAAGGGCGATACATAAATATCACCCCTATTATTTTAATTGTGTTGTCTTTGTTGTTATCTTCGAATGTTAAATACTCATACACAATGTTCATACACAACTTTTTAAATGTTGTTTATGAACAGTACCGTGTCTGAGCCCCTTCTTTTTGAAAAGTACCTGTCATTAGAGCATTAAAATCTTAAAACGTTTTTCAATTAGTAATATTAAAAAGCTCCTTAAACTTGCTCGTTGCACCACCCTCCGATTGCGGTGTGTCAGGCCAAGGTACGGTCAGTGTATAAATAAATCAGGTAATTTAAAGAAAACAATTTTAAAAACTAAAACGACAATTCCAAAATACGAATCTCTCACATACTGAATGTTAGCAAAAGTAAAAAAGCAAAAACATCTTCTTTTGTGCTTATCATTTGCAGTTAGGGTCTCCAAGTCTTTATCTTTATATATATATATATATATATATATATATATATATATATATACATATATATATATATATATATATATATATATATATATATATATATATATATATATATATATATATATATATATATATATATATATATATATATATATATATATATATATATATATATATATATATATGTATATATATATATATATATATATATATATATATATATATATATATATATATATATATATATATATATATATACATATATATATATATATATATATATATATATATATATATATATATATATATATATATATATATATATATATATATATATATATATATATATATATATATATATATATATATATATATATATATATATATATATATATATATATATATATATATATATATATATATATATAAAGATAAAGACTTGGAGACCCTAACTGCAAATGATAAGCACAAAAGAAGATGTTTTTGCTTTTTTACTTTTGCTAACATTCAGTATGTGAGAGATTCGTATTTTGGAATTGTCGTTTTAGTTTTTAAAATTGTTTTCTTTAAATTACCTGATTTATTTATACACTGACCGTACCTTGGCCTGACACACCGCAATCGGAGGGTGGTGCAACGAGCAAGTTTAAGGAGCTTTTTAATATTACTAATTGAAAAACGTTTTAAGATTTTAATGCTCTAATGACAGGTACTTTTCAAAAAGAAGGGGCTCAGACACGGTACTGTTCATAAACAACATTTAAAAAGTTGTGTATGAACATTGTGTATGAGTATTTAACATTCGAAGATAACAACAAAGACAACACAATTAAAATAATAGGGGTGATATTTATGTATCGCCCTTAACTCAAAAATTACTTTATACCAAATATGTTTTTAATATGTTTATGGCTATAAAAATAGCCATATTTAATTTTTTTTTATGGGTAAGCTTCTTTCGTTTCATATATTTTATGGCTATGGTAAAACCAGGTCAATAGAATTTTTTTTATTGACAAATTGACACTTTATTCTTAGCAGAATAAAATATTAGATATTCAAACAGAATATGCACGAATTTGATTTTCATTGTAACCATGATGGTTGCACTAACTAACACTCTTCCGGTGTTTAGATTATCCAATATTAACATATTGTATCTGCTAAAAATGATTATAGCAGCCTTGATTATAAATAGAAAGTTATATCGTTGGATGTACTAGACTTAACTTTAATGTGTCTTTTGATAAAAGAATTTCTGACTTTCATAGTTTTATATGATGCTTGGTTACTGCTTTCATAAACGTTTAGATAAAGTAAAAACAAAACTGGTTAAAAAACAAGATCCATAACAAATAACACCTATTTAATTTATAGTTATAATAGTTAAGATAAACTTTAAAATTAAAATTAAAAAACATTATTACTCTGGATCCTCCATTTTTTACCTCAACTTATTGTTCATCATGTTTAGCTATTTTTTGCTTATGAGCATAGAGTGCACTCATGATTGAGGAGTGCAGTATCTCCAACTATTCTTGGAATAACATTATCCAATGTGGGAATATAAATTGCGGAATCTCTTTTTATATAAGTATGATACTGAAGCCAATAAAAATGATAAGGATGAAGCCAAATTAGAAGCAAATGAAAATAATATTGGCGATAACAATTAGGCTGTTTGTAATATTAATTTATCAACCCAGATACTCATTAAAAATTAGTATGTAAACCATATTTTTTCATTACATTGAACTTTTTTAATAAATTGATTGAATAAATAAATTGCATACAAATTTAAAGATAAGATTTAAAATTAAAATAAAAAAAACTTTGTTTAATTTTTTTACACTCTCCAATAAAAAAAAGGCAAGATCGAAGCCTGCAGGTCATTGGGTTTATCAAACAGGAAAATTTTTTGCAAACTGAGACGCTCACAACGTTTAATCAATAGTTTCATAAAAAATCCTAAAAATTATAGCACAAAGCATTGAAGTGGAAGATAATCTATACTTACAGCTTGCCAACAGCGACAAATTCTATATGCCGCTAGTAACCGTACAATCTCCGCGAGACAAATAGATGGTAATTTTGGCATTGAAATGCTTCTAATGAACGATGAATCGTGCAATTAATCGTGCAATTAAGTTTTCAGATATGCAAAAAAACGTATTTAGATATGCAAAAAAATGCACATCTCCAGCACTAACTGAAGCACACAAACGCATTCGTTTTCAATGTACCAAGGACCGCATGATTTGAGAAAAAGAATGGAAAAAAATTGTATGGTCTGATGAAAAAAAATTTAATCTTAAAGGTCCAGATGGCTTTAATTACTACTTGCATGACATAAGAAATGAGAAAATATTTAAAAAAATAAGGGCTAAGGGTGGCGGAGAAGCAATGATTTGCGGTGCGTTTAATAATTTTGAAAAAACTTCGATTGGCTTTATTTACTACAAAATTAAATGCTGAAGGATATAGAAATTTGTTGAATGGTCATTTGGGTAATATTTCGAAAAACTTTGGTAACACTAACTTTATTTTCCAGCAAGATAATGCTCTAACTCATAGAGCAAAGTCAACTATCTCATGGTTTGCCAGCAAGAAAATTTAATTATTAGAATGGTCAGCGTTCTCACCTGATTAAAATCCCATCGAAAATGTATGGGGCATCTTAGCAAGATGTGTTGATGGAGAATCGAAACATTCGAATGTC